TGTGGCCAGCAGGTCGAGGGAGGTGATTCTCCCCCTCTACTCTGCCCTTGTGAGACCCCACCTGGAACACTGCATCCAGCTCTGGAGCCCCTAACACAAGAAAGACATGGAGCTGTTGGAGCAAGTCCAGAGGAGGGCTACCAAGATGGTCAGAGGGTTGGAACACCCTTCCTATGAGGACAGGCTGAAAGAGTTTGGCTTATACAGCTGGGAAAAGAGAAGGCTCCGGGGAGACCTTATAGCAGCCTTCCAGTACTTAAAGGGGGCCTACAGGAAGGCTGGGAAGGGACTTTTTACAAGGGCATGTAGTGACAGGATGAAGGGTAATGGTTGGAAGCTGGGAGAGGGCAGGTTTAGACTAGATACAAGGAAGAAGTTCTTCATCCTGAGGGTGGTGAGACACTGGAACAGGTTGCCTAAGGAAGTGGTGGATGCTCCATCCCTGGAAGTGCTCAAGACCAGGTTGGATGGAGCCTTGAGCAACCTGGTCTAGTGGGAGGTGTCCCTGCCATGGCAGTGGGGTTGGAACTAGATGAACATTGAGGTCCTTTCCAACCCAAACCATTCTATGATTCTACAAAAACACATCTGCCTCTGAGAAAGGAAAGAGAAATGACTGCAAAAGAAAAAAGTTAAGTTGAAGCAGCACATAGCAATAGTATTTTGTCTATTTATTCTTCAATAAAATATAGCAGAGGGAGTCTGTTGATGAAGGAGTCAAGAGTGCCGAAGAAGAATCCATGGAGTGCAGGAACCTGATTCAATTCATCTAGTGAAGTAGAGGGATTTAACAAGAAAGGGGGCATGACTGAAGGGAAAGGAGGAAGAATACTTAACAGAGGGAGCAAAAGAGATTTCTGCCAAAGACTCTGCCCTCTGGGAGAAGGACTAGAGAAAACAAACATCTGGAATTATAAAGGAGTGAGTGCGCTATGTGAGGGAGCTCTTAGGGAAGACTATGATGAGGAACAGAGTCATGGCATGGGCCACAGCAGGAACACCCAGCTCTTGGGCTAGATAAAGCCTTCTCATTTCACTTGCATTTTTATTCTTTTGCATAACACACAAGAGCCGTCACAGCCTCAGTGCTGAGAACTACCCTAAAGAGCCTGGTGGTGAAGATATTCTCCAAGGTACGAGACAGGGATTTGGATCTCTTGAAACAGAGGCATGAACTGAACATGGATGAGTACCATAAAATGTAAGCTATGGGTTAGCTCCCTTTCTAATAGCTAGTAATATTCTACCTCAGTGTCTGGATAGTGGGGCACATACTAAAAAGAAGATACACTCACACCAAATCCTATTACATCTAAGGCATTCTGTAACTCTGGGATATTTTTACAAATAAAAGCTGAATAAGGACTGCAAATTGAATGAAGCTGTCCAAACATGCACACTGAAAAAAGTAAGAGTTCCAAGAACAGAAAACTTTAATTTACCAGGCAAGTGGTTAAAAAAATTCAATAACAGATACCTGAAACTTGCCAAGTTTGAACTAGGAGTGAGGCAGATATTTTAAAAAGCAAGGATAGTTAAACCATTGGAACAACTTGTAGGTACATAATGAAGAATAAATCTTGTAAGTCCTTAAACAAACATTGCATTTCTTGATAGGAAAGTAGTTTCTGATCTAGGCAGACCATAAAATCTAAACATAGGAATCTGGCTGTCAAGTTCTATTGGAATCCAGAATAGCTGATCATAATGGTTTAGTCAGTTTGTTAAAATGAATTTGTCTGAGCAATGAAAAAGTAAGGGGGTTTCCTCTTGTAACTTTCAGCCCCATACCACTCCTTGTCGGAAGGTTTGTTTCTGAAATACCAAGGAGGTCATCAGTATAGATAATATTGAGACAACAATTTTCAAAACAAAAAACCTGAACCTCTTATTACTCTTATATAGTAATAAAACATGTTTTTATGCCACTGCATATTAGGTAATTAACTCAGTCAGTGTAAGTTATAACTAGAGGAACCTATTTGTATTTGAAAACCTCTATCAAAGGTTCACTCTAACAGGTAGATAGGAAACACAACCAAGTATCAGTTCCTAACTCTCAACAGACATGAGCCATTTTCCTAGTCTATCACCAGTTCATTTCAATATAACCCCTTTAAAGAGATGTCATAAAATCTCTTTGCTTTCAAGCTTAAAGTTTTGGCAGGATGTGTGTGTGCGGGGAGATGGTAATTCTGAGATACTGGAAGCTTTCCAGCAGGATAAGAACACCGTTTTCCAGACATCCTGCTAACATCAACTCGTGGATGCATATAGCTTCTTATCATCTCCATCGCAGGCCACGGCTCTCAAAGACACTTCCTGGGCCACTGTTCATATAGATTTGTCTGTTCTGTTCAGAAAGATAGGAGAGGAAAAATTCTGATACTTCACCATTAAATAAGGATGGAATAGTTAATGTCTGAAATAGTTTGTAGAGAGCATTTCAAATAAGAGATTGAAATGCTGGATAAGGGGAAGCACTTTGAAGATTGCGATCAAGTTTCATCTTTGAAGACAGCCAAAAGAAAGTAGGCAAGCTTAATGGGAGAGGTTACTCAAGGTGACTTGCCATCACTGTTCCTGAATGTGAAAGAGGCAGGTTAATAAAAAGTTCTTCTTCTTCTTTGGATATAGAAACACAGCAACGGGATCACATTGAATTTTAACCTGTCAGTGACCATGGTGACTTCTCCCCCACTCAGCCTTTGTCAGCAGGGTCTAGGGGTATTGTACATCAAGTGTGGAGAGGCTGCAAGTTCACTACCTCAAAAAGACCACCTACAAGCCTTAGTCTAATTAGAGTACAATACAAGGATCTGATTAGAGTAAAGACATTTCCTTTAAAATATACATTCATGCATGTACGTGTATCCCACTCTGCAGACATTTAGCCCCAGTTGCTGATATCTACTTAAGGAGGCTGGGTGAGTGAGTTCTTTGAGGAAGATGTGAATTTAATCTCCAAAGCAGCAGTTCAATAGCACAGCCAGGTACCACTTGCAGTACAGTGCCATTTGTATAGGTATGCAAAAATCTTCCCAATGAATTTTCTCAGTGTCAGACACTTAAAAAACCCACAGAGCATTACCAAGATCTCTTGCACTTCCTATTAACATCAGCTAGCTATTAGTACAAGACATTTGAGTAATTCTTTGAGGCAAAGAGAGCCAAGGGCAACTGCAGGGAGTCCCAGAGGGGAAAGCAAACATAGCAACATCCATGATTCAAAAGAAAACTTCTAGTGATCAATTATGAAGTTTCCATATTGCAAGGGTGATGGAAAAATATCGTGGCATGCCTGCACACTAAAAAAACTGCTCAGGAAACCTTTAACTTTGCCTAAGATGTACTTGTAAATGCTGCAGATACTTTTTCTTGCCTGCATGGTTTATCTAACATGTACTGTGGACCCTTTTTCCCATTAGAAATACCTTGGTCATGCATCTGACTTTTGGAAAGCATTAAAATATTGTCGTCTGCAGAAACAGGGAGATACAAATTAAATTCCATTAGATTAAAGGGACAAAGAAAAGCAAGAAACTAAAGCTAACCTTGGAGACATTTTCCCCACTCATGTAAGAAGTTACCAAGGTAAACAGGCAAAGTGAAAAACTCGTATATTGTATGACAAAAGATGTGGGAGAGATCGAATAAATGTCAGTGTTATTTTGAGTTTTATTTCTTTCATGTGTTGTATTTGTCTAAGAACATATTTAAAAGATCCTGTCTACAATACACACATCTATTTCTTCTTGAGAGTCTGCCGTTGAATACAAAAGTAAAACAATTCCACAAAAACTCTGCCAAAACAAAGCAAAAAATCCACAAGCCAGCAATACTTCTCCTTCCCATTCCAAAAGAAAACCCTCTACCTGCTTCTTTTTGGCTGGGTATGGAGCAGCAAGTAAACACAGAAATTACTGTATCTTCTGCAGCCACTAGTACCTTCTCTTTCTGAGATCCCAAAGACTGGGATAATTACATTCTGCAAGAGGCAAAACAATTTATGAAAAAAAAATGACACATTCTCTTATTAAAAATTAAATAGGACTTTCATAATAAGCTGCTTCAAATATGCGTGAATAATGACAGATAGAAACCAGCCTCTGCAGATTGCTCATGAAGTGGGTGTGAAGCTAAAGTCAGGGTAAGAAAAAAAATCACAATGATAAAAGAGCGCTTTCTTGGAGCTTTTACAAGGTCATTTGGGCTAGGCCAGATAAAAGCGAATATTTCTCCAATACCCTGTAACAAGAGGGAGAAAACAGAATTAAAAATTATCTTTTGCAGCAAAACCAAAAATCAAAGTCAACTTCTCTAGGATTAAGTCCACTGGAAAATAGAGTCTCCCTTTTTTTCTGACAGGTTTTAGCTTTTAATTATGTAAAGCCTTCATGAAGGGATTTCTATCTTTTTGTAAATTTAATTCACAAAATGTCCTAATTATCTGCAGACATATTAATAACTCTTTGAACAATATATTAATGTAGCAAGCTGAAATGTGTTTTCCAAACAACAGTAAAACAAGGCTTAAAAAATTGCACCCATCAGTAATTCTTGTACAGTTCATATGTAAACGTATTATTGGTATTGTAGATATTGTGAAAAACAACAAAGAATCCAATGCATTGAAATCCTTCAGCTGCTCACAGTTTACAAAACCTAATAGTATCGTGGGCTGCAAAAGATGGCCACTTCTTCCTCTGTGGGGAACTGCCTTTATCTGCTCATTGCCATTTCTTTAGTGTATCTGAGTTAATTTTTAATAACAATTTTACTCCTCATAAAACTGAAAAGACGACTCATGGGATACCATCTTCAGAATACAACCCTGCTGCAAAAATACTAAAATAACTGTTGGAACAGAAAATGAGGAAGAAAGTTGCAGAAGAATATCTGCACTTGTGGGAGAAGGGTTGAAAGCAAGAGGCTTTTTTAAGTTTGATTTTTTTAAATTCCTCTTTATAAAACCCTAGCTGTCAAAAAAAAAAAAAAAAAGAGTTATGTCAAAGCCATCCTAAGGCAAGAATAATGTGTGTCCGTACCTGAACTTGCTTTAAAAGTCTCCAAGCTTAGAAGTAAAGGCTCTGCACATATCTTTATACTGGAACTGGGAATTAGGGTAGGGAACCCCTTTCAGGAAAGAACATAGGTGCAGTGAGCCTGATGAAATGGTCATTTGAAAACAGAGGGCCTGACTTCTCTGATTCAATAGTAGTGTTTTATCGTCAGCCTCCACTAATATGAATAGTCTCCCTTTTTGCTCATGGGAAACAGCCCATGACAAAGTCATCCTCTTTCACTTAAGACCACTGAAAGTTTGCAGAGTCGCCTCCTGCATTTCCAGCCACATTCCTCATCTGCCCAAGTTTATCCACTCACAGTCCATGACACAGAGAATGTGGCTGTATTGTGTTTTTAGCCTAATATGAAGGCACCTCAAGCAGGTGCCTTCCATGCCATCAGCACTTCCTCTGCTTTGAAATACACATTCTGCAGATCTTTACAAAAGAACATGTTTCAGAATAGGTATGTGCCATTGCATGGCCTCAAACACAGAGTTGGAAAGCATTTATTTTAAGATCCCCTCTCATATTATTTGAGAACTAAACCACGTAAGCTGTCATAATGAAATGTCAAATATGAAGCTAAATTAACACCAGCATTGGTACTAAAAAAAAAAATGAACAAATTCATTATTCTTACCTTTTTTCTCCTTTATTCCAAGTAGTCTGACTCCTGGATAAAAGAAAAAAATGCATTAGTACAGTACAATGTAAAATGTACAGTACAATCACATATTTATGCACGGAATTCTGGTTAGCCAGCTGTGTAGAACTTTCTTGATTACTTTGTGCCCTCTCCTGTCTTTTGAAACTCCACTTAAAATAAGTAAACCCTTATGCAAGTTTCCAATTCTAGCAATAAATATTTCTTCGATTTGAACTCAATATGAATAGCAGGATGTATCGACTCAGGAGATAAACATATCTTGTTTCTGCTGGAAAAAAAAAATCAATCTAGAAGTGTTCCAAATATCTTCAGAAGCCTCACACAATTTCTTTCTTGATCTCACACAATTTGAAAGAGTGAAAAGTTTCTTCCATTCCTCCCCGGACTCCCACTATTCTCTTTTAGGATGAGATTTTCAAAGGAAAGAATGATTGAGCTCAAAGTCAATGCAGGCAGAACCCATCTGCATATGCTGTTTGACTGCCTTGTCAGAGTTAAGTCATTAAACTCAGCTACAGCATGCCTAGACCTACTCATCTGAGGTCCCTATATCAATGCTGATACTTCTGCTGAGTTGTTTGTTTATTTTATGCCATCCTTCTGCCAGGAAAGACAAGCACGTTACTCTGAATAAAAAAACCCCAACCAACCAGTTCGAGGAAAAAATTTAATACTGATTGTACATAGACTAACCAGGTTAAAACTAATTTATCAAACCACATTCTTTGTTAAAACAAACGTAACCATTATGGACTGCACTCTGGAACCTTCTCATATAAACATTCTATTCTCAATATTCCCATGTTAAATAAAAGCTTTTTCTTTGTTCTGGGAAACCAGCATTTTCAGTGCATCTTTGCCCATCTAAAGGTTCACGAAAGTTTGCGTTAAAGACTGATTGTGTATGGAAAACTGTGGCATGCATGCTGGCCTTGTAACTTCAGGGACCTTTGAGCTATAGTTCTTCGCTGTACAACAGTAAACTTCATGACGTGTTCCCTCTCAGACTGGTAGCAAATAGCATAAATCAAGTGCTGGTTGAGACTCCAAAGAAACATTCCCATGGATCATGCTACAAGAATTAAACCAAGTGCTAACCCACAAACCATGTTTATTTAAAATAGTTTTATCCATAAATCACGTTTCCTCAAAACAGATTTATTCAGCATCCATTGAGTTCCTCTTCTGCATATGGGAAAGGAAGCGAATGGGGTTTCCTGTCATATTGCTATGTATTGAGGGCACAGTTGCTTCCCATAACAAATAATCTAGAATTATGCATCCACTGAAAGAGCAGAGTCAGCATCTGAGAGAGCATTTGTCATTCTTATGACACCGGGTGTAATGGAGACACGAAACGGGAAGGTGTAACATGTCACGTTGCTTTCTACATTCTGGGTTTACTATAGCTCAGAGAGTTTCAACAAGACCACTAGTATTTCATTAAAGAAGAGTAGAAATATAAATTTCTTATATTTACCATGTGACCTCTCCGCATTAACAGAATAGACAAAAGGGTCCTTGACAGTGCTCTGTTTCCATGCAAAAAAATAAACAAGGGCTCTGTTACAGGCTTGCCATACATTAGCCCTTTGCCTCTGCAAATCCCTTCATACTTGAACATGGGCAAATCTCACAAGTGAGTGAATACAAAAATGTGCAACTGTTTTAAAATTATTATTTTGTAAACGTAGAAGTGTTTTAATATTTAGATAAAACTGGTCATTTGTGCTATTACAGTGGACAGATACTGTCTCGGTCATAGGTCCCAGCTGAGTAAGGATTAAACCTTATTGTTTAAACTTTGATGTCGAAATGACAACTGTTATTTTTTTACCCTCCCATCCTAAAAGGTTTATCCTTATGTTAGAGACAATGGCAGTGCAAAGGACATCAAAACTTTCCTGATAGCATACAACAAGACTCAATACTCTCTTGAGGGTGCACTATCTCACAGACAGATGTGGAAATTCATTAATTTGTCTTCCCATTAAAAAAGCAAACCACATGACCACCCAGAGAGTGCCCTGGCATTTATAACCGAAAAGGGAGAAAAGATTACTTTCATGAAGATCCTTCTTGAAATAACAGCTTATAAATATTCCTAATAAAACACAAGATGTCTGGAGGGCAGATGAATTAATGAAAACTGGTTTCTTATTGAATAGTGGACAATTGGGCAATATATCTGCTCTCCTCCCTCCTGCCCAGACACACATAATAAAAACAAACTTACCCTCCTCCTCTCCATGTCCTCTTTTGCATCCCCTACCCCCAGGAAAAAAGGACAGAGCTGCAGCTGCTCTGGAGCTCTGCCCATGCTGATCGGCTGAAGGGCTGCAGCTGAGCAAAACACAGAGTGCCCAGGTCCTTCCCAGCACCCCTCAGAGTGGAGCACTGTTTTGGAGTCTGTCCTCTGCCAGCCATTGCTTTTCACAAAACACACAGAAACTTAATTATCTTTGAGACTTATACCCCCTTTTAAATTTGGCTAAGTTTGGCCAGCAGGCTGTAGACCTCATTACATGAACACTGACAGTGTGATCATACAAAATTCATTTCCTTAGGAAATCAGGCTAATAGAAATGATGGTGAAAAATACAGCAGGTATATCGACAACACAGTGCGATGTTCAATTTCTGTTAAGTGTGAAGGTGCTGTGACTGTAAAGAGTTCCAACAGTAAAAAAAGGAGGGGGAAGGAGAACAAATATTTCCTCTTCAGTGCCACTGCACAGACGGAGCAGGCTCAAAAATTACCTGCAGGTCTTAACTTTGGGAACCTTTTAAATTTCTTTTAATCTTAGTATATAGTCTGTCCTGCTTCAGTTAGCTTCCTTGTAATGTAAAATGTCACACTGCAGACCACATGACTTGTAAGCCCCACCTGGAGTTCAGAACCTTTTATTTAAAATCCCAAGGAATGGGAGAATAATATTAGTATAATCAAAGACACCGAGGTTGCAGCCTCTAGCCTATCTTTTGAGAGATATTTTTCTTGCTCTTTTTACGAACACTCATTTTTAATTCCTTTCCATGATGACATATTTTTTCATAGTTTATTCTTTCCCTGTTTCGTTTAGTCTTCTAATCTCACATCATAGCTTAAAGGGAAAATGGATAATCTAGCATTACACAACAGAAGGCAGGCTCCTTGGGAGCCATTAAGTAAACATCAGAGTAGGAAATGTATCACTTCTACACACAGGGTTTTATTGCATTTTTGTTGATGCATTCTTTGAATATATATATTTAAAAAAGCATAGTTTGGCTGTGTACATGACAGCATGTCACTGTCCTGGTTTGAACTAGAACAGAATCAATTGTCCATTCAGTGAGTTTACTTTTCAGCTAAGTCTTTTTAAGTGAATGCACTTTCTGAAGGTAACAGCATATTTTTCCAGACAATGTCTGCTTCTAGTAGTGAGAGCACCTGATGTTTATAGCTGCTACCAAGGAATGGTATGCAGAAAGGCTCTTGCTTATACTTGCACCTACAGAAGCCAAGATCACTGCTACATCTTGTGCCCTATGTTGAAGTGTCATAAGTAAAAGTTCAGTATCAGTTTTGTATATATTTGTATATATTTCACTATTATTTTTTTATTATTATTATTGTTAATGTTTAATTAAAGCTGTTTCAGTTTTCTTTTCCAACCCATAAGTCTTTCTCCCTTACTCTCTCTCTTTTCCCCTTCTGGAAGAGGAGAGGGGTTGATAGCATCTGTCATTTGTTAGCGGCCGGCCCCTCAACCCTTGACAATCACAGAGCTGTCTGTTGTTAAAACTGTGCCTGGGCTGAGTGCACTCGTTTGGTGGTACCAACAACTACCCTGTGGAAGAGGACATATGGCATCTGGCTAAAGGCAAAACCCTGCTCCCTCTGCAGACAACGGCAAGGTTTTCAGTGGTGACAGCAGGCACTCTGATGGAGATGCTCAAGTTTAGATATTGGAGATCTCGGCTGTGTCACACATTTTCTTTTGAGTTTATCAGGAAATAGTTTACAAATTGGGACAAAGAACACAAAGTAAAATAAAAATAATAATTTCTGCCCTTGCTGCCTTTGTTAACTAGGCCCCATCCTGCAGACTTTACCTTTTGCCTCTTACTAGGTATCAGCTGGCTCTGTCCTACCTGAAGTCTCTAATTCTGCTATCTGCAGACATGCCATCCTTCATGAGAAGGTTCAGGCCATACAGAGTGCTCTCTTACTCACACTTTTTTACTAGTCTGGACTTCTGTAGTTTGGCTTCCAACAACTCCTGGATTGCCTGGCACATAATACAGGCCTTACCAGTAAAGCCTGTAACCAACCGGTTCTCCAAGCAGCTGCCCATAGACCTTGTGGGACATTGAGCTGGCAGGTCCTGCCTCCTCTCAGCAAGACCAAGAGAACTGCTATGCACAAAGGTGGCCCTCAGTCCAAGGTTCCCAAGCCCTCTGCCATGACCCAGGGCTTGCCCAAAGCCTGTAGGATAAAGATACTCTTTTTCTACATCTAGTATATGGAAACCTCTAGCAGCAAGAGTATCTGCTTCTTAATCATGCCTTGACTTTATAGATGCTTGAACCCAAGTCTTCCTGGCATTCATCTGCCAACATACACATCCTCACCAGACAGCAACTAATCCAATTCAAGCTTTTATGGTTTAACAACTGAACATTTTTCTCTACACTGTTATGTTCACTGAATTCTATTAGACCCATCTTTTTGCTGCTCAGTCTTTGTAAATCTTTCATTTCTGCACTAGGGCCCTCTCAGCAATGGAATTTCAACCTAACGGAAATTTCCATGATGGGAATACTACATAGGTGGGTTTTTTACACTGAAGAGTGCAATTCTAAGTAACAGTCACATTAATTTAGGACAGCTAAAAAAATTAATGGATGTTTAATAGGCTACAGTCGAGATATCTTTTCTTCAAAGAATCCTTACAAATACTATGGTTTTTAAATTGGATGCAGTTGGGTCTTCTTTGACATAATTTCACATGGGTAAAAAACGAACAGCTGCACCTTTCATGGGATTCTTCCCTCCAATTTCAGTATCATATTAAAATGTTTACAGCATTTCCAAACATCTTTCATCTAAAGACTTTCAAAAAATCCCTTACAATTTTACTACCTGTGTTCTGAACTTAAGGAAATGCAAGGAACCACATTCAACATATTAATTACCTTGCATGCAAAGCCACTGAGTTCTGCTGCAAGAGCAGCTGTTCCTCCCTTCTCCCAGCTGAACAGCTTATATTTAAGGCAGGATTGTTTCTTAAAAACTATTGTAGACAGCCAGCCAGGACTGTAAGTTCTGTCAGGCAGGCTAAATGCACACAGACACATAATAGTATCTGGGGAAAAGACAACTTTTAAACAACCTCATTGCTATCACGTTCTGTACCCAATATCTTACCCAGGTGCTGTTACTGAGGTAGTCCAGACTCCTAGAATATCCAAGCTGGTAGATGCTATTAGGTTGTGTTTTCTTCTGGAGTTGGTCCAGGAAAGCATTATTTACCCTTAAAATACAACAAAAAATGAATAATGATCGAAGGTAGCTGAGGAGTTCACAGACTTCTGAAATTTAACATTCTGTCAGTGGCTTTCCCTGTTCTCAGTACAATACCCATCTTCCTACGTTTCTCAAGCCTGTGCTGCATAACCATGGATGGACATCAGATAGGGTGGATTTTGGTTTCAATTCATTAGGTGCACCCCTATCCTATCTTCTGACTAAAAGGCATAGCTCAGCTGTTGTCAGAAACGCACCAAAATTTTCCATAGAAAGATGATCTGCACATTACCACCCACCCTATCAGGGAGGTTAGCTATTTTGCCAATTCACCTTAGGCAGTCTCTCAGCCTTCAGTACACAAGGATAGTTTCTAGAAATACTGATTTCCTAATGCTGATGAAAAAATGCACTTAAGCTTGTTACTAATAGGGACAATTTGTGTAGCTGACAACTCAGCTCTGAAATCAACTCCAGCATTTTCTTTTACTGCTCTATCAATCTGAAAAGCACGCACAAATACAAATACCCCTTTTCTCAATCCGTTTTAAATATTTTCAAACCTTCTGAAAACTGTTTCTTTTTTCCCCCTATTAATGCTCAGGACTGACATGCTTAGACATGACTGTTGTTTTAATGTTTTACAGTGCTATTGGTAAGAACGATGTAAAATGCAAGATGTCTGGGGACATGAGATGGACTGAATCAAAAATCCTTCATTAACTTTACCCCTTTTCTCAATCCGTTTTAAATATTTTCAAACCTTCTGAAAACTGTTTCTTTTTTCCCCCTATTAATGCTCAGGACTGACATGCTTAGACATGACTGTTGTTTTAATGTTTTACAGTGCTATTGGTAAGAACGATGTAAAATGCAAGATGTCTGGGGACATGAGATGGACTGAATCAAAAATCCTTCATTAACTTCTATGGGTAATTATCTCAATATCTTTGCTAGAGAAAAAAAGAATTAAAAACAGTATGGAGGGTGGTTGCCTACAGTAGTATTTTTTGTTTATTTCCCTAATGACATAAAAAAGAAACAAATGGTGTTTTTATTTTTGAGCCTGAGCATTGTTTCTTGTCACCAGCAGAAAACAAAGCTGAGAATAAAGTTGTGCTTCAAGATAATGGCAAGTCAGTTAAGGGACAGAAGCACAAGACTAGAACCGCTGAGCACAGAGAGGGCACAGCTGTGGGGGACAGCCTGGGGCACGAAGCATTGCAGCTGCAGAAGGCCTTGCTGCACTGCAACTTCCATCTGTATTGATATTAAATCCCACGTTTAGCTCTGTCTGTTAACCCCAGTGACAGTCAATCACAAAATGTGGCATAGACAAAATTCTAAAATAAAGTAAAAAAAGATAAATAGATAGATAGATAGATACAATAAATAAAAGGTTTCCCAGCTGAAACTACTGTAATAGAAGTTACCGGAAACTACTAATAGTTTCTACCCTATGCTGTATCTTATGCTGATAGGATAAATAAAGTGAAAAAGGTCCTCTGGGTCATACTGCAGGAGAGTGAGTGGTTGTAATGATGGATATTAGTGGCTCATTTGAAGACAAAGTTAAACCAGAGGTGAGGTCAGGGATCCCTCACTGCAATTGTCTTCTTAAGCATGAATATCTAGGATTTTGAGACTCCTTCTGGATAGGAATTCAATTAAAAGTGTATTCTGCATTTTTGCATCATACCTCCTCTGCTCATTTTGATGTGCTCTTGTCCTGGCTTCCTCTTCCTGCTTTTGTTTAAATTCCATTAATTCAGCCTGGGAATGATAAAAGTGAGAAAAAACCCCAACGATCCAACAAACTTTTAATTAACATACCTACGTTGCAAACCAAATTAATTCCACACAGCGTTAACTTCAGCTAGAGCCACATGTCATTCCCAGAACTTCTCTTGACAGCATTTTATTTATGTGACAGCACTATCTTAAAAACTGAGATAATTTTTCTGTTCAGCGTTGCACTGGATGAGTTTTGTTTGTGCCTTAAAAAGTGGGAAGTTACAGGATTCAGACATTTACAGTCCTACATTTAAAGCAGTATGCCAGAAACCAGTCTGCTTCCACCTGCCCCAACCCATGGGTTTGAATTTCCCTGTGTGTCGAAGGGGGAAGACAGCTGAAGTCATCTAGCAGGAGCAGACACAGCCATAGGGTACGTAGTGCCTGTAGGGTGTACGAAGCAGACATGCCCTTCGCCTCCTGCCTCAGTGGAGCACAAGAAGATAAGAACAGGGGTATGTGGTGTGTCACCTCCACCTCCCTGGCGCTGCCCCAAGGGTAAGGGAAGGGCAAATGGTACCTATCGGTGTGGTGAAAGTGTGGGCAAGCTCCCAGCATTGCAGCAGCCTACCATCCTTATGTTACGTGATATTAAGGTGTATGAACTGTGTCAAAGATAATTCTTTTCAGAGGAGAGATTGCTTATGCAGTTGTAGCCAGGACTGCAAAAGAAACACAGCTTGTATGACTCTGCTCTGCATGTGTGCTTGTTTGTCTGGCTCTTGCTCCCTGCAATGCATCCAAGAATTGAAGATGCAGATTTTTCTGCAAAGAAAATTTGGCTTGCAGGGGGAAGGGGAAGGAATATGAACAGACTCATCTTTCATATTTTCCATAGCAACTGAGCAGCAGTAGGAATAGGAACTAAAATAAAATGATGTGGTTAGATAAAAGCTTCAATAACTGCATTGAACTACAAAAGTTTTTTTAAAAAATCAATTTAAGTGGAACATTAAGTAAAAACTATGCAATAAATGTATGAAGAAAATCAATAACTGTGAATGTGTTGTGTATCAATATTTGTCTAGCCCTAAAAGAAGAAACAGGATTAAGAAATAAAAAAGCCAACCTTAATTTTCACTGCTTTAAATAACTATTCAACCTGAAAATTAAAACCCAGTATCTGACTTTCCAATATGCTGAGTCCTCTCTTGGAGTAATGTTCTGAAATATATTGTGTGTATATGATGCGGTCTTCAAAGCATACTGAAAATTTCTAAATCAAGCAATACATACTAAAACCTGTTCTGAAAAAAAAAAGGGAACTGACAATATCTATACATTTTATAGCTATACTGTGCTAGGACGTACAAGACAGAATCCACAATTAATTTAATAAATATTAGTTTGAAGTAGAAATGAACCAACATATATCTGAGGGACAGCTACTGCAGCCTTTAAAACACCTATTATTTACAGTAGGTTTGTAAGTAGTGCATTACTCTGTGCAGTTGGTAGCAGCCACTGTAAAGGCAGGGAGCACTTGGAATTGTGTACCAAGCAAGAGCAGCCTTAGAAGCAGCCAACACCTTCATAGCAACCTGTGGAAATCAGTAAAGAGTCTAAAGCTCTACATGAGCCCCTTAAACCAAACTCATACAGTAGGGGCATACTAATTCACATCTGCAGTCATCTTCTCTATGGAAGAATCAATGTAAAGAACACAACAGCTACCAGCCTTACACCCATCGGGACTGGCTTTCAAAAATTTCTCCTTTGTATAGTTCCTGAGAATAAGCATACACCTGATGGGAAAGGAATTAAGAGCCTCTCTTTTCCCCCACATTTTGTTCCCAGCATCCTGGTTGCTAGAATATTATGAAATACTAGAATACTATACTAGAATACAATAAAATACTGGAATACTGTACTACTTATCCCCAGCATCTTAAAGAAAGCTATCCACGAGAGGGGCTGAGCGACTTCTCCAGCTCTAATAGAAACTCACTGCATGGAAGTCGTTGCACTAAGATTCTGCTACTGGGGAAGTAGTTTAACATTAATTTGGATGTTACTAACAGCAGTGGCATGGCAAGAAGCTCAGTATTTCCTAATACGTTTTTAAATTATTTACTAATATGATTTTCAAATGCTGCCCTCCCCATATTTGCACAGTCAGACCGGGAGCCAAGAGAGATAACAGCACAGTGCCATCGCCTTGTGTAGATGAACTTTTATGTGGATATGGTACCCAAATCTGTGCCAGCAGGACTACAGTGCTTCAGATGCATTTCAGGCAATGCGTGCCACATATGCAGAAGATGGAGTTCAAACTTGCTGTTATGGCATGCCTGCTTTTCAGACAACTCAAAACTCTTCATTTAGGTGGTAAGCAAGGGAACAGAGAAGCGTACAGACTTAACAGCAAATCGGAGTGCTTCCACACCCCCATTTGGGAAGGCAGGGCACATGGGCCTCAGTTCTCTAGAAAGAGACTATTCAGAGTCTGAGATCTTCATGAATGTCTCAGTAAGATTACTTCTGCTTGAAAGAGAGGAAATTGGTTTCCTTAGCCTATGAAACCAGGTGCCATGGTCAAAAAATGCTCTGCACAATTGTTCAAATGGAGAGGCAAACAGGAGCAAGTCATCCAGATGCAAATAGCCTTGAAGCCAGAAGATAATTGTGCTGTCCCTGTCCAAATTTTACAGGTTGGCTCATCTCTCTCACAATATTTGAAAACAGTGGTTGAATCACTTTTGCTAAGGAGAAGCTCTGTGTGTAGGCTACAAGTAATCAATGTATTTAATTGGTTTCCCAGCATGCAAAAATGATACAATATGCAAACTGTTAATGTATAATTACCTTCCTCCGTTGTTCTTGCTTCATTTCCTCTAATCTTCTGTTTTCATCCTCTTGGAGAGTTTGCTTATAAGTATGGCTTCTTGTCTATTGTTCAGCAGAGAATATAAACATATTGGTGTGGGGAGAAGGGGGGGGGCTAAAATCCCAAACCTTATTCCCAAATCGTTGTACAGGTAATTAGCAAAACAGAAACAGTTGAATGATTCCTGTTACTTAAAAAATGGACCAGTCTGAAGACTAGAATTTTAAAAAGAAGTGGTCTAAAGCCTCTCAGTCATTTGGTTTGGCTGAATGTCACAACCAGTCAGCCACAGCACAGGCTATTCAATGTCCCAGTGTCAAGCATAAAGATACCCTGAGTGGTCAGAAAACACAATCAGGACATACGATAGTGAGATGCTGTATTTTGTGAAGAAAGAAAAGTACTGAAAATATTACCAAGATAACAAAGCAGAATGGAGGCCTGGTAACAGAGGGGAACCCAGGATCATTTGTGGAAAGGCATTTGTGGAGGCAGGGCAAGAGAAGCTGAGAGATCAAATCTGCTATTTTATTTGTGGGGTAGCCAAGAGAACCGAAAATTACACATAACGAATAATGTATTCAACTGTGTTCTATGTTTTCATTAGAACAACTGTCCTTGGTCTTTCACAAGTTGTAGTTGCTAGCAAAGAGGCAGCTTACCATTAGGATCTTACAGGATCCTTAGGATGTTATACATAGGAACTTACACTGTAAAGTCTTTGAGCAGGGACATAGGGTAGCACACTAAACAATGAGCTAGTATAATTTAATTCAAGAAGTGTGCAGTTTTTACTTTAGACCATTTGTTGCAGATCTACACAATATTCTTGAAACTCGATACATGCATGCAGAATGACACCATTAAAACAACACGCACATAATTTGCTAAAAGGACTGAACAGAGAAAGCAATTATTATTAGCTCAATTTTGAGCTGGGAGGACTTGTTACATGTGTCCAAGGAGACTCATTCTGGGCCAATATTATTCATTACTCTCTGTAATGGCTTGGAGAATTGTGTGGAGTGTATGTTAATCAAGTTGGAAGACAATAAAAATCTACGCAGGATTGGTAACACTTTGAAAGACAGGATTAAAATTAATTATGAGCTTGATTAAATAAGTGGGCCAAAAAATTCACCAATGACAGAGTCACTCCAAAAAAGTTGTATTTGTTCATGCACATCAAGTAATACTTGACACTGATATTTGAACAAGGTGCGCTAAATTGATATCACTATCAAATATGTGAGGGAAAAAAATTGATGAACATTACATTGTCCCAAACATTTTAGAACATTACTTCTAAATTTAAAAAAATCACATATATATATGTCCACCTTTAGCATGCATATCAGGCACTTCCTAAGCTTATCACGCTTCACTGTTTCAAATACATTGTTCCTGAATCTTTTAATTACTCCAGACAAAGGACAGGTCCAAGATAACATCAAAATCAGAGTTCAAGTTTTCTCACTGGTTTAGCATTTTGGTACTACACCAAGTTTATTTAGATAACTGCTCATTGCTTATGTGCTTCAGATTCCTCACGCAGAGCACAGAGGCTGTGCTGTGTGTAATGCCTGTAGACCGTACCTCATCCAAGTTGGTTGGGAAGACATTTTGCTAACTGCATTGCTGCATTATAAGCAAGTGATGAACTGATTCACAAAGCTATAGAAATGCTGCCATGCAAAAGCCATGTATAATATCAGCTAGTTTTAAAGAACAGTACAGAAAAACTGTTACCAAGGAAATATGGGGGTAAATCTTTCCCTTCTTTTACTCAAGGCTGTATACAACAGAGGGCTGCCCAAACTGGATACTTCCAAGTTTCTGCTGACTAAGAAGTAATGCTTGTAATGGCAATTTCTGTCCACTTGGTTGCATGATGTCTGTCTTCCCCCAATTACAAACCCCCCTAAAGGAGAACTCCTTCTGCCTCAGAGTTAATGTTCCTCACCGCAAGCTTTTACATCAGTAGGAAAGCTTGGTTTAGACACGAAGAGACTAATCATATGTGAAAAAGCCTTTTTGAGGCAATTAGAATAATGAAACTTAAGCAATACTTTATCTATTTCCTAATTACATTGATACTTACCAGGCTCATTCAAACCGGGATAAAGTCCCTAAGCAGGCAATGGAATCACTTTTAGGATGCAGTGAGAAATAAGCTTCTCTTCTGACTAGATTTTCAATGCAGTAAAGCATCCACTGACATGAATTAGTTGAGATTTCATAAAAGCTTGCCACCAATGGATGGGTGCAGAGCACATTTAAGATTCTAATCTGACCTTAGAATATAAATCCAGCTCTCATCTATCAGAGAGAGATCTGTGAGTCATAAAGGCAGTCCCATACTACGTAGGATACTCTGCCAGTGTGTAAGAGACAACGTAGGCAATCTCATTCACTCAGAAAGACTCCTTGGTACTCACTGAGTTATATCTAGGCAATTAAGCTCAATTAGAATATTCTAATTTCACACTATTGACAGCACCTGGAAAGCTGACAGAAAATATAGCACATGCCATGGTTTTGCTTACCCATGCTGTAGATTCTGGGCCACTATTAGCAATCTGACAGGAATCACTCTTTGGCAAACTGAAGTCCAATCTGTTCAATAATTCATCGGTTTTGCTACAAAGAAATCCAATCCAAATAGAATTGTTAGTGCTTCCATAAAAATAAATACGGCTTTTTATTCAACCTTTGGAATCTAGCCTAGACATTTTATCATGTGACTGCTGAAAAACATCACAGGTGGAACAATAGATTATGGAGACAACAGAATGAAATGAGACAGAGGACACAGAACCTATGTTGTGGATAAGACAGTTGCTGGGAGGAATTTTTAAGCAAACAATTATTGTTGTTTGCATATTTGGGGTCTACAGGGGCTATGCTTTCATTCCTCATTGTAAAGTTGCTAAAACACAGACTCACATACCATTGGACTTCATCACAATGCAACTGCTTCACTGAATCTCAGATATGTAATTTAAAGGATTATTTTAAGGAATTTTCCTTCATGGTTAATACAATGCAGCCTTAACAAGCAGAAAGACTTTGAAGAATTGTGTAGCATATTGAAAAAAGAATGCTTGTCTTTAGTTGAAGAAGAATTGCACAACATTGTCATTTATTATTCTGCAAGGGCAGTTTTATTTTTCCAGTCGCATCCCTTATAAACCAGATTTTCAAAGTAGCATCATTTTGCTCACAGTTTCAACCACGTGCAGTTAAAGAAAGTCACAAGCAACAACATGGACAAATGCGAGGAACAGGAATTTCAGTGCTGTGATCAGGAATCAGCTTCCTAACCTGCAGTCCCAGGCATACTTATTCAAGTATTTGCTCACTCAAAGGAATAGAGTTAGAGGAAAGAGGAAATTTTATTTCTGCTTTGGAAAGTATGAAAGTACTGAAGCAAGAGCAGAAAGAGTGCTTCAAGAGTCATTCAACACAAAGACTTACTCTGCTTACAGGGCAACCAGCTAGCTCTGTCGGGGAGAAGATGCCACTACCAAAGACAGCTACTTAACCTTGGAGAAAAAGCCTTGGCTGCCAAAGAATGATGATGACTAACTGCTGAAACAGATTGCCAAGCGTGTTTTTATCTTTCACTCCACGATCCAAAATGGTAAGTAGAAGCATTTTGTTTTTCAAAGTGTCCTGCTGGTCAGTGGGTATATTAAGGAGAAGTGGGGAAAAAGAACCAGAACCCACAAGTTCTTCTCTGCTACTCTACACAATACAAAACCGTGTTACCAGTTCAGGTACAGAGCACTTGCTTAAGCTGTAGCAAGCCATGCTTTTAAAGTCTCAGCATTCCCAGTTCACTCCCTTTAATCCATTACCTGGGCAGTTAACATAGCCAATGCACAATACAGAAAGAACCAAGTGAAACATAAGATTCTCTGATTTATCAAGCACTGTATATCAAGGTTAAATAAATTAATAATCTTCTTACCCAAACATTAAGCACACACATTTTTTCCATGAAAGAGGAGTGGTTGAATGGTGAGATTGCACAGAATAATTTTGGGATCTTGAAGTTTTATATTTCAGAATTTGTGTTTCTCTGCCTGTGCTAAAATGTCTAAAATAACAATTTATTTCTACACAGGAAAGACTAAGAACTTCTATAGAAAGCCTGGAATAAATTTGAGAAGGTTGAAGCTCTGAAAAAAAAAAATATCTGGCAACTTGTGGGTATACCTGGACGTCCTAATTCCTTATAAGCAGCAAAAGAATGACATGGGGTATGTAGAAGTTCTCATTATTTGCATAAAAATGGGGTGGAGGGTTAAGATATTGCATTTCCCAGACCAGCACACTGACAGATGAAAAGCTAACTCAGTTTTGGTATTAGAAAAGATGATTATAAGAGTGGTAGCAAATAAAGTTTCTCAGCAAGACTGTGCACTTTGCCTTTGAATACAGAAAACACCCTAAAACACCAAATTAAGTAATACATTATTAAAATGTCCCTATCACAAGAAATGGACTCAGGTTTCCAAACGTGACTAAAGACAAACGCAGTCAAGTCAGTCATGTATGTTAACTTGTTGTGTATCATCTCTATGGAAACCCAGCAATGCATCTGGAGTTGCCAGACTGTCAAAATATTGTCTGAATGGTGTTTCTTATAGTAAAACCTATAGTCATAACAATGCAGAGCACAGCGTAAGCCATGCTGAAGGGAAAGGGGGAAATCAAGAGAGATGACAGTTCAATTAATGTTCCAGAGAGGAAAGCATTATCTCCAGAAGGAAATCAGCATATAGAAGTGTCCATAGGTGTTCCACATTCAAACAGTTGGAGCAACATCTCGCTTGCTAAAACTTCAAGGGCTAATCAAAGATGCTAATAAAACATGCTCCTCTAAGCTAATTAATATTAAAGAAAGAAGAGCATGAGCTGAAGAAATTAATTGGAATACAGCAGCACCCTGATATCCTTGAAAATTAGCCAGGCAAAAGGAGATCCAAAATTTAGACACACCAAAAAGATGGCACCCACTTAACAGGCGGCTAACCTGACCTCTCACTGCCCTTTAAGTAACAGGTTGAAGGGAAGAGAGGGGTTCAGAAGCACTGGTTAAGCTGGAGTGACCTTATGAGGGTATTTTGTATTTTTCAGTAGCCCTGTTTCCCATTACACCATTTGGAACAAAACTTTTGCTCTGCTATTTAAAATAGGCTACTCCCATACTAGTACACTTAATATCACCAAGCAATACTCTTAGCATGGGAACTCAACCATCGATATTGTAGTAATAGTTTCTGGAATAGTTTTGACCTGTTCTAAACAGCACTTTCCCAAATAACTCCTGGCTACTGTCCGGAAACGAATATCAACCACAAGTAACTCCCAAGAGGCACTTTGGATGCAACTGCCAGATTTTGGGAGGTAAAAAAGTTTGCTAGCAAGGGAAGCAGGCAGTCACAGGCCTGTTGGCCACAAAAGTGACAGTGATTGACAGGGTTGTGTTTATTAGTACAGATGGACCCATGGAGGAGTGAGCACAATACTGGATTAGGGGGCTGAAAATCTCTTAAGAGCTGTCATGGGAAAATACTGACTCTGCTGCCAGGATCATTGAGTAATGTGCTAGGAGGAGACAGCGCAGGACTTGGAAATCAGCCCATGTTTCAGATGCTTCCTGTGGTCCTCAGATATATGGCTTTACATTTTGCAACTACTCTTCACGCAGAGTCCTTTCATAAAAGCTGTTACGTAAAAGCATGTATTTGAAGCTCAACCAAGTACATGTAAAATGTAGAAACATGAATTTGCTAGGTGTTCCACTAAGAACGGTGTAATTTAAGGATTAGAGTTGGCACCCTGCACTCACTTGTAGATCAGGGAATCTATACACATTTCTTATTGTTTGGGACTAAAAGCATGTGTTCCCATATTCTTACCGGAGTGAGACAACAGGGTGGATATAAAAGTGAGTGAGCCTAGGTTCCTCTGGCCTAGGCAGGAATTCCCATGTTCAAACAGGGTCACCAGCCTTGACAGTTGAGAAGCAGAAATCTCCACAGTTGACCCCAGAAGTCTGCGGAAGATCCAGCAACTGCAGAAGATCTGAAGACCCACAAGTGATCTTGTTGCAGGACCTGAGGTCTAAAATCCTGCGCAGAATAAGGCCCTTGTGTGTCATTTGGTCTTAACTCCTGTCACATAGACAAGGCAAACAGAAGAGCCAATCCTGAAATGGATTCATCCTTAGGGACATGAATAAACACATGGACTTAGGCCCCAGTATTTTCCTGTGCCCTAGAGTCACACAGCTCCGCTTGCTATGCTTGTCATTTGAGACTATACTTGTCTCAGAACAAAGATGTAAAGAAAATAATTTTTTTGCCTACACATAAAGTTCTTGGCTTTAAGTCTGTTTTAAAGACTAACATTAAAAATGTATCAATTAAAAAGGCTTCTTGTAACCTTCATTACTCCTTCCCAATGAAACCAGTGGCAGTTAATTCTTTTACTTTAATTGACAGATATTGAAATGCCAGGATACAGAAAAATATATTGGCTTTTATGCCAGTGCTTTTGAAAAGAAGCAGCACAAGACTTTTACATATATCATAAATCTATTTATTTTTCTTGACAATTTTTTAAAAATAATGGCCACTCTTATTACTACTGAAAACAAGACAGCTCCTGAACTCCTAGTTTCCTCAAGCTGCAGGATCTCCAGCATTACAATTCTGCTCTAACGAACATCCACAAGTATGCTAAGAGACATTTAAAAACAGTAATAAAAAATAAAAATAAAGAATCCCAAGCCAGGTAAATCATTATAGCCTTTTCAGAGAGGAGACAACATGAGTAGTTACTAAGATAACAAAGGTAGCATCTAGTGCTGAATGACATGGACACTTCAGCTTCCAAATTCATTGCCAGTAAGCAATGCTGAAGGGATATTTCACCATTTTCTTCCAATTTAGCTGAAAAACTAAGAACCATGCATAATGCATACATAATGTTAGTTTCACACATCTGCCGAGAAGTTTCATGATGGTTTTGAAACAATAGCAGGACTCCCCCTCTCAAAAATGAAAACAAATAGCAAACCTGAATTTCATTCAAGATGCATCTTTTTTGCAGCACCAGCAAGTATATCCACACTTCTCTCCACTTCAACGTATTTAATTGGACAACTTCCTCAATTTTTTCAGAAATTAAGATTAGTTGCTTAACACTACCAAGGCCTACCCACAAGAAAACCTGCCCTTCATTTCAGTAAGGTCCATGGTGGGTGTGTTCTTACTGATGCCCTTGTTCTTTCCTCAGTGGGGGCTCTGCCTTACATGCTGCCATATGCATCCTGGTCAGGCACTTGCTATGACCCACAAGGCAGGCTGGCTGGTACTAGGGCCATTGTTGCTTCTCTGTCACGCGGCCTAACAAAATCAGAGGTTAAAATACAGGAATTCCAGAAGTTGATGCAAAGGTCAGTGAGATTTCTGTCCATTTATGCAGGTTTCCTATAGATTCTATGTTGGGAGTTGGAGAAAGAGATTCCAAATGGAGGTGTAGTTGGGATTTTCACTAATGAAAATCATTTGCTAAAATGAAAATGAAGCTGAGAGCCCGATAATACCATTTGTAAAAATAATCCC